TGTCAAGTCATTGCGGCTGCCACAGAAAATTCGGAAGTCGAGAGTTTTTTGTCCTGGTCGCGGTGGTTGGAGACCAACGGGTTCAACCCCGTGGACGTAAGCTTCACGAACTGTTGCCAAGCCAAGCTCCTCTTGAGTCTCTTCAGCGACGGCTACAAAGTGGAAGAGTTGGGCCGAAACGGCATCGTTTTGGGCTGGAAATCTCGGCGTCTGGTATCTGCCTCATTCTGGGCCTCTCCTGAGCCCAATCTGTAAATAATCATGTCCAATAGACCAACGGGTTCAACCCCGTGGACGTAAGCTTCACGAACTGTTGCCAAGCCAAGCTCCTCTTGAGTCTCTTCAGCGACGGCTACAAAGTGGAAGAGTTGGGCCGAAACGGCATCGTTTTGGGCTGGAAATCTCGGCGTCTGGTATCTGCCTCATTCTGGGCCTCTCCTGAGCCCAATCTGTAAATAATCATGTCCAATCACTACAGTTTTTTTTGGCCCATCATATTTTACTGTACATGGAAAAGATTTCAATGTGTATATATATAATACATTTAAGGAAAACAAAGCAACATTGTGTCTTGCAAATAATAATTATCTGGAGAATCCTTTCATCATTACCAAGAGCTACATATTATTATTTTTCCCAACATTGGTCCGACCGTTCAAGTCTCTCGATGCTTATTATAACATTAATGTATTTTCTAGTACTTGAATTCTAACGTTACGAAAACATATAGAATATGCGGTGGCACGTGCCGGGCGCGCCACGGTAGAAAAAATCAAATCAAAAGGCAGAAGAAGTCGAATAATTAGAAGAAGATGAAGAAGAAGAATCTTTTAACAGTTGTCCGAGTCAGATAAAGATCCAACGGCTACGATCTTTCCATCTAGAAATCGAGATCCTACGGCTAAGAACCAATCTGCGTATGTGAACCGTTGGATCCACATCGACCGGTCAAGATTGAACATATCTCTCCGTTATAACCATAAATAGCGCCTCCACGGGTGCTATCTCCACTCTCTTTCTCCCCCTCTCTCTCTCTCTCGATAAAGCGACTACTTCGAAGTTTCTCTCTCTACGACCAGAGAAAAAAATCCGAATTATCTTTTTTTCCCGATAAAGGTTGCGCTATCGTGTGCCTGGGAAAGCCGGAGCTTAACCTGCGCCTTCGCCGGAAATGTTGCCGGAGGAATCGAGACGTACGGCGGTGATTCGAATTTCACGGTACCGTTGGGCCTACTATTGACTCAACCCATCGTCAGGACCCACAGAGAAGACGAAGAACAAGGAGAAAAAGAAGAAGCGAAAAAAATGGACGGCCAAAAAAGCCAGGCGAAGCTGACGAGGACGCAGTCGTCTCTACTCCGGTCATCCTCCACCGTCCGATCATCCATCCACAGCCTTGCCTCCATCTCCGAAGCTGACGTCACCAAATCTCACCACAGACCGGATCTAGACGACGACGAAGAGAGCAGCCGCGGCGGTTCGGAGGAAAAGCCCAGGAGAAAACCGCCTCGGAAAACCGGGTCCAGTCCTCGAACCGGTTTAATCCGGTTTAGTCCGGTCTCCGCTGTGGCGTATCTCACTTTTTGCACTCTCCTCTCTTTCCTCTTCTTCTTCTTCTACTTGGACAGAGAGGAGATCCCCATTTCGGAGAATCTCTTGTTAGCCCTTATTTTCGTCGCGGTTACGTTGTTCTTCGCCTCCAAGAACAAATCCCTAATTAATCATTTCGTAGCGACGGTCAGGCAATTGTGGCACGAGAACGCGGAGAGGCTCGGTTTCTCACACCATGGGCAGTCGTCGAAATCGGTTCAATGGTTCATCGGTGAACCGAGCCCTGAAACCCACAAATCCAAGAGAGAGAAGAAAGTTGTGAGGGAAGCAGTGGAGTGTTACAGCAATGGCGACTTTTACGAGGGAGAATTCCACAAGGGTAAGTGTAACGGAAGCGGGGTTTACTATTACTTCGTGAATGGGAAGTACGAAGGTGATTGGGTCGATGGGAGGTATGATGGGTACGGTATTGAGAGTTGGGCGAAAGGAAGCAAGTACAAGGGACAGTACAGACAAGGATCCAGACATGGTTATGGTGTTTACAGGTTTTACACCGGAGATTCTTACGCTGGAGAATGGTGTAACGGACAGAGCCATGGAGTTGGCGTTCAGACGTGTGCTGATGGGAGCTGCTTTGTCGGGGAGTTCAAATATGGCGTCAAACATGGCCTTGGCCGTTACCGTTTCAGGTAACGTCTCTTAGTTAAACAATTGTTTTTCACCCGGTGTTCTTGTTATTTTGGTATGCAAAGTTTGAATCTTTCCCATTTTTTTCACGGTTAGATTATTCAGGAAAGCTATTCTGCAATCTCTTGTTGCATAGAATCATTTTCTTTTTGGTCCTGAAAAGCATGTGACTGGTTCTTGTATATGCTCGAGATTGACAATGAATTGTAGTCTTAATGGAACATTTTTTTCTGACTTTAGAAATGGAGATAGATATGCTGGTGAGTATTTCGGGGACAAGATCCATGGATTTGGTGTCTACCATTTCGCGAATGGGCATTGCTACGAAGGGTCGTGGCACGAGGGACGTAAACAAGGCTATGGAATGTATACTTTCAGGAATGGTGTTACCAAATGTGGTGAATGGGATGCTGGCAATCTCAAGATCCCTCTCCCTCCTCTCGCCGGTCCTGTTCTTAGAGCAGTTCAGGTAATAAAATCACCTTTCCTTGAGTTTTCGGAAATGCCCTTCGGGATATGATAGTTACTTATTTAGCTTCAATTGTACAAAGTTAGATTAGACATGAAAAGGTTCTCAATTGATGATGATGATAATGGATGGAAGTTCTTGGTTATATCTGTTTTGACATTGTGATCATTTTATAAATGAGCCAGGTTTTCAGACAAGATGGGAAAGAAATCATATTTGTGACCCTTTTTTGGCTCTTTGATTTGTTAAATTTGTTTGATTTAAGATCAAAATTAACCGTGTATACACTTGTTCCTATGCTCCAGGCTGCAAGGAAGACGGGGGATAAGGCCATGAACCTATGGCGAGTGGACGAGCAAGTGAACAAGGCGGTCATGTCAGCCAACCGAGCTGCAACTGCTGCAAGAGTTGCCGCCATTAAGGCTGTTCAAAATCAAATCGACGGCAAATTTTACGAGTTGGTCTGAACGATTTGCAAAGCAAGGATTAGTTCGTTTCGTTTCGTTTGTAGAAATTTTCAGACTAATTTCGTCGATGTTCACCCTGACGTGCACAAAAGAGCGTTGCACGACCGGAGGTTGAACCCAGAAAAGAGAGTGATAGAGAGAGAAGAGGTTGTTGGAGATTTTAGCTTAGGTTATCACCACCCTGTAAGTTGTACATATTGGCTCATGTATATCATCATCATCATCTCATCATCATCGTCATCATCATCAATGCAAGATGAGGTTCCAAGCAGTTTCCTGCAACTGCTTTTTGACTATTACTGGTTCATGTTTTTGATTAGTACAGATTAACTATTTTGTTTCTTATCTGACCAGTCAAAATATCAGAATTTAAGGATAACCTCTAAATTCATGGTTTTAATATGACGGTTAAATAGACAATTTTTTTTTCATGGATTCTGTTTAAAGAGTCATTATGATCTATAAATAGACACTTTGGTTCTGGATTTCTTTCTTTTTTCTTTTTTATTTTAAGGATTCTGGATTTAAACAAAACGTGGAGTCAAGGCTGAGAAGGATTCAGACAGAGATGGACAAGAGTCAAGGATCACCATGTTATCTTGTTCTGCTCTGTCTATTTTTATCTTATGAATATAAAATTAAATATGCATATATATATATATATAATAAGTGTATATGAATTGCATGCATCAGATGGGTTTTTGGATCTTGTCCCAAGCAGAGAACATCACTGCCCATCTCAGAGAATATCAATAGACAATTAAGCAAAAAAACATGAACAGGTTCTGAAAGAGAAAAGATAAGAGGGGATATTTGGGACCATTATGCTCTCTCTCTCTCTCTCTATCTGCTACTGAATATGTCCAAAATGGGCAGATCTTAATCTGTTTCATAAGGACAAAACCTTGGTCTAGTTTAGTTCATGAGGTGTTGTTCTGTATCATCCCCAACTATTTACTACTTAAATCCCGGTTCTTGAATGCATCATCATGTCTTTGTTATATATATATATATATATATATATATATATATATATAAAAGATGTACATGCACACGTATTTCAACTAAAAACTACAAGATTCTTGAGTGCAAAATGAGAATTGAAAGAAAGAAAAGACGTGTTATACTAAAAGAACAAAGAGGAGATGAGGGAGGGAGGTGGGTGAGGGGGCCATGTCCCAAACTCATGCAAATATGCCTTTGGATCCATATCTTTTTTGTTTTCTCATATCCCCTTTTATTCACAAAACAAGACCTTGTGAAAAGATCCAATATAGAAAAAAGAATCATTTCTTTTTTTGCCCATTATATATTATTATTATGCCTATTCTCTTTAGATTCCTTTCTTTTAATTTATGCATTTGTTTATTGAAGTTCAAATCGCAAATCCATCATCTTTTTCATAACAACTCCACATGCATGCCCACTTCACTCGCAAGAAAGAGAGTTTGTAACTTTGTGATGTAAAAGGAAGACATCCATCTCCTTTAGAAGGCTTCCTACAACCTTTTTTGACTTAAACCTCTCATGGGGTTTCCCTCTCTCACACATTCAAATTGTGTTGCATTCATTCATTCCTCTTTTGGATTTTGTTTTTGGGAATTATCATTTTTCTTATAATGGTTATTGGTGTATTTCATACCAACTTTGACATTTGAGTTTTCATTTCTTTTCTTATTCTTTTCATATTAGAATAATATATACTTTTTGCAGCAAATTATATTGAATATTTTGCTGATAATAATGTTTGATAAATGAAAGCGTGAGCATATGAACAATACTCTCTCAATTTTCTATTTTTTTTAATCTTGCAGTCAAATTTTTTTAAAAAAAAATACAAGTGATATGATGGTGAAAAAAATACAAGTAATGAGTATTTTGTTTTTAGATTCGTTCATGTAGTTCTCCCATTACATGTATAATATGATCTGTTCCTTTTCCTTCTAGCTTATATATAAGATGGTCTCAAATAATATGATTAACTAGAGTTAGGAAAGTTTAATGTCTGGTCTGCCTGCATATGTATATATTTATAAAAATAGAGTTGCATTTAAATTTAAATGGGAGAAAAAAAACAAAAGAGAAAACCAATTTCTTAACTTTAAAATTATCCAAAAATGTATAAATTCAAAATTCTTACCTAATCTTGAAAACTTTGGGATTTCACGAGAGGCCTGAATAGCTTATACTCCCTCCGTTTAAGTTTGTAAGACGTTTTAGCATTAGACACACATATTAAGGAAAAAAATATTTTGTCTAAAATACCCTTATTAATTAGTCTTATTAATGATAGAATATATTATCATTATCTTTCCCAATAAATCAACAATTTAATTTGTAAACTTGAAAAATGAACATTATTTGGTGTTTTCAAATTTTTTCCGTAAAAATTTAAATTTGGACCAAAACAACAAAACCACAAATATCAAATGTCTATATATTAGATTATAACACTCAGAAACAAACAAATTTTTTTCATGTCTTCTTATAATATTGATTTAAATTTTTCACTTGTAAGCGGAGAGAGAGAATTTTTATTTGACTTAAACAAAACTCCAACAAATTCTGAAAATTTTGATGGCGTTCATGAAGAAAGAGAAGATATTTCTTCTACAAATTTTACAAATTTTGAAGAGCGATGAGTTTGATGAATTATAAAATTATTTGAAGTTTAGTTTTTTAGTGTAATCCATACAGATTAAAATAAGATTAAAAAAATTAAACGTATTTAATTGATGAACAATTATTATAGTATTAAAATAGAAAATTGTGTAAAATTATTATACATGTAGAATTCGTATTTGACTACTATTAATAATGGGCAAATTTGGAAGAAATATTGAAAAGGACATTGGAAGTAGGAAAATGTCATTTATTTTAAAACAAAAAAAATATTCTTAAACGACTTATAAATTTAAACGGAGGGAGTATTGTTTTGTGGCTCGATTACACGAACAGTAATAAGTATTTTATATTTTTGTCCTGTTATAACGAATATTTGGATATTTTAGCTATTATAATCTCTGAAACTTTTAAAAATGTAATATAACCATAATTGGATATTATATGTACTAACAAATTATACTATTATTACATTTAATGAAACAGTAAGATGAACTACATTTGGAGCAAAACTCCAATCAGTTTGCATTCATATGATGTTACAAATCCAGACCATTTCTTCCTATTTTTCATTTATTATGCATGTATATATATATATATGTATGTATGTATGTATGTATGTATGTATGTATGTATGTATGTATGTATGTATGTATGTATGTATGTATGTATGTATGTATGGACGTATGTATGTATGTATGTATGTATGTATGTATGTATGTATGTATGGACAAAAGGAGAAGAATATTGCAATGAACATGTAATGCAATTGACATTATTACCACTTGAATAGAGAAAGAACTCAACCGCCTTTGCCCTTTGTGTTATGGGGAGCGATTGGTCCATTAGCCAATTTATCATATTTGGGACCATTGGGGAATATTTGCCTATCTCAATTTTAATATTTTTTTATCAGCATTAAATAAAAACCAAAAACTTGTTTTATTTTTATTTTTTCAAATCATTAGGAATAGTTTCAAATTGGTTTAGGCTTTATCATAAATTCAAATCTTTCCACAATCCTTAAAATTGATATGAGGTGCATTATATACACACACAAGTATAATTGTATGAATATAGTTTTTTTTTGTCAATATTTTATAAATTGATAAAAATTTTAGATTTTTATTCAACTAGATTGAACGGGTATTGGGACTTTGAGCTATCTGTCAATTCTCGGTGTTTCCTAGTCTAAGAAAAGAATTAAATATGTGGTGGTTAGGACTACAATTTTGACATTTCCCCATAATATAATTGTATTGATTATACTAATTTATCCTTTTTTGACAACTTATTTATCCTTATGTTATCATAGGAAAATCGTATATTTATTTAAACAACGGCCACAAAGAGGAAATTCACCCGATTCAAACACTATCGAGCGGATTCACATATTATCTTTTACAAAAGAAAATGGCTAGTCCAATCCCTTTAGGACACTGTTTATAAAATATAATATTAAAAATATGATTTTGATATTCATATGGTGATTAACAATATATTTATAGTTATATATATAAAATTAAAAGCGTGGAATTAAATAAAATTATTTTTGAATATAGAAAAACAGATATCAATTTATATAGAAAATCGAGATAAAGGAAATATATTAGATGAATTCAAATTTTAAGATAGTATATAGTGATACATAATATAACAAATATTAAATTAATTCACGCAATGCTCGAGATCTTTACATGGTTTCTACTATTTACCAACTACAAAATTAAAAATAAATACAAATTCTCCATAACTTTTGAAATTTTCTTGGCCCTTATAGTCAAGAGTCTCAAGATGGTTCTTTGTTCAAAATGAATGGCGCCCCTCTATGGCATTTCCGTCTTCCTCCTTTTTTTTTTTTTTTAATAATCAAACGTTTAGTATTGGTATATGCAATATTAAATATGTATTGAAATAAACATCGCGGCAGTCCAGTTGACTTTTTCATTATAGGTCAATTTATGACGTTGGTTGTGTGTATATATATGTATGTATATATGTGTGTGTGTCTCCAAATTGTTCAAATATGAATAATAATAGTTTTTCGTTTGAGGATTTTTCTTTCAGCCAATAACTTAGCAACCAACTAAATTATGTTTTCAGATTTTATAAAACTATATTTATCGTATATGTCGCACTCCGTTTGGTTCGTTTTGCTTGTTATGTTTGTATTACCATTAAGATTTCTCGGTTTCTGCAACTGATTCAGTTTTGATAGAGTTGCATTATTAATGTATATTAATGTGCAATATTCAATAGAGTTCTAACATTATCCAATATAATCTTGTGTACGTGGGCAAATTAATATCATAGCCATATTTCTTTGTAATGTTTTCATCTTGATATCAAAGCAAAGGAAGTGATAAACACAAAATGATTGATAGTATTTTTGTAGTTACCTTCGGGTTTTGGATCATTGAATGAAGTTCTAAAAGAAAACAAATGGTACGGCTCGTTAATAATCTCTTTTTTTTTTATCCAACAGTTGGTGGGCCATTGGTTGAGATATGACAAAATTATCTTCAATATCCTGAGTTCGATTCTACTGATGGAAGAGATGTAATTTCTGAATTAAAATGGTCCATATATAAAGACTGTTCCTGGATCTAGGCTAGATGTAGTCGATCATCCTACTTATAAAAAAATCTCTTTTTTCTTAAATGAAAAATAAAGTTTACATGCAAATATAACGTTTCCTTTTTCCATGTTTCCATGAAGTAAAATCGACAAAATGAGAATCCAAGTGTACTGCATTTTTATTTTATTTTAATAAATTCAGAAAAACATATGATTCGAACCCCAAATGAATATGGGTAGAATTCGCAAGTGGCAAGTCTTTTTCTTTATGGAGAGGCCATTCTGGCATTTCTATTTTAAGCTGCATTATCTCATTTAAATTGCTCTATTCTATTTCCCAAACAAGAAAAAAAAATAATTATTCAAATATAAGTATTCACCATGCATTATAGGACCGTGTCGTCATACATAAACCCAAAAAATATGTATCCCATATAAATGCTGTGTCAATTCACACGTTTTATTATTATTATTATTATAACAACAACAATAATGACAATAATAGTAGTAGTAGTGCCCATACATCCCTGGTCTGCCTTATTCAATGTGCATACGAAAGAGGATATTAAAATAACCAAAGGGTCAACGCAGAATCTTAATTAATCGTACACACCTCACTCGCATCAGGCCCTAAAGCCAGATTTTGCAAAGACGTTTTTGAATGTCTACAAGAAATTACACAATCTCAAGATTCAGCCCGTTTAGGCCCAATTAAATGTTGGAACATTAGGCCCAATAAAGGCCCTTTAAGGTTTTTCTTTCCTTCCGGCAAAGCCAGAACCCAATGGCCTATTATCTTAACGAATGAGCATGAAATTACCACATTCAACTAGAGGCTCATTTAAGAGCCCAAAATGCAGATACTTTTGTAAGGCCCATTAAGGCCCATTACGAAAATATTCTAGCCTTGGCATCCGGCAAAGGTTCTTCATGCTTTGCCCCTATTGGAGACGATACAGACCGACCTATATGAACAGAATCTGTTCATTCACTTAGCTTCATGCAACTCGAAAATCTTTTAAGTTGGGCCATTCCTTACCTAAACCTCAAATCTGTGTATTCATAAACATCGATATATATAAAAGATTCTATCACAAGGAAAACAAGTCGAGTTTCCAAACCTGAAAAAACACGGCTTGCGAAGTTTACCATGTCCTCGAGCCCTCCGAGAGAGCGGACCAACGATGTAGCCGGCCGTGGAGGAGGCGGAGACCATCTGGGAGGGAGGACTTCCGGGCTCTACTGGTGCTACCAGTGCCATCGGATGGTGAGGATTGCTTCATCAAATCCCTCGGAGATTGTGTGCCCTCGATGCTACCGGCAATTTTCCGTTGAGATTGAGACGAGGCGGCCTCGGATAGCGTTCAACTACTCCCCGCCTTTCAACGCCTCTCCCGAGGCTCGTCTCTTTGAAGCTCTCTCCCTCATGTTTGATCCTCATGTTAGAGGGTTTGGTCGTGAGGACCCGTTTCTCAGACCAAGATCGAGAAACGTGGTAGCCATGGGCTCCGAGGCGATACCTCGATCACATCATCGCCGCAGACACAGCCATGATATGGGAATTAACAACGGTAACAGGACAAATGGCGGTGAAAATATCCGGGAAAGTGAAACCGAGGGTTTACCTCCACCGAGAAGAACGTTTGTCATTCTCCGACCCGTTGATCCAACCAGGCTGGGTGGAAATATGATGGAACCACCAAATCTTGCAACCCGTGCGGTGAACCCTCGGGACTACTTTTTAGGACCGGGCTTAGAGGAGCTGATTGAGCAGCTGACGGAGAATGATAGACCTGGACTGCCACCAGCACCAGAGTCAGCTATAGAGGCGATACCAACAGTGAAAATCACATCAGATCATCTAAAAAAGGATGGATCGCAATGCTCGGTGTGCCTGGAGGAATTTCAGGTAGGTGGGGAAGCAAAAGAATTACCTTGTACACATATATACCATAATGATTGTATAGTCCCATGGCTGAGGCTTCACAACTCTTGCCCGGTCTGTCGCCATGAGGTGCCTCTCAACTCCGGGGGTGATTCTCGGGAAAGGGTTAGCTCTGTCGGAGAAGAGGCGCCTGACACAAGGCGCTTGAGGTGGAGGCAGCTGGGGAATATGTGGCCTTTTCAGGCAAGGTACCAGAGGGTTAGTCCAGAAGAATCAGCACTCCCGAATTCTCGAGGTAACAGGAGTTTCTTCTTCTGATGATTCTGCATCATCCTTCAGACCAACTTAAGTCTACTAGATCAAGAAATCACATGAATTGGCTATTATACATACACATTGTGTGAGATAAGGTCCTAGAGATAACATATGCTGTATGGTTAAAACATATACTCAGCTTACAAAGCTATTTTTCAGCTAACTCCGTTCAGATCTGAACATGTAACGGCTTCCATCGAAAGCCCTATGTTTCAGGAAAAACGAAAACACAAGGTTCAGTAAGTTGAAGAAAACGATGAACCACAAGATAGAAACACAACATCTGCACTGCATGCTATAACTGGAAGAGTTCTAGGGGAAATTCAGTAAACTTGCCTGAAACCTTAACTGAAATGATCTCAATTGTTTATGCAGTTGAATCGCGGTGCCCTCTCTGTCATATCCTTTAGCTTCTTGAAATGATGCAACTATTTGAAGGAGAAGCATATGGCAGCATGTTGTTGAGCATTTGCAGATGAATAAAGCACATAATAAATGTACAATGCAAGCATATGAACCACAAAACGGTAAAGGAACCATGTACAGAATCCAGACTAATGGATTACAATTCAAACACATCATTATCCTGACTAGACTTAGTCATATCATGTACTTTACTTCTTCTGAAACAAAAGATTGCAACTTCACAGACATATAAAAAAACTCTAAAGCTCTTGCTAGGTTAGCAAATTCCAAGGAAAAGGTCAAGGCTCTCTAGACTAGACATGAATTATCAAATCAGAAGTTACACATTGAGCAGATCATATGAAATAAAGTTCAGATTCATGCAACGTGCCAAGATCCTGAAACGATTACCGAAGAAAAACCACATCTCGAAGGCAATACACTCTGCCGCTAAATTTCCCATTCAGATTCATTATTCCTCGAAAGTCGAAACACTAACAACCACAGTAGATGAGTTTCATCCTTCCATTCGAAATAGGAACCAGTTGTGGAAAGCACCCACCTTATGGTGCATCCTACAACAGAATAGCCAAAGCCTACTTACACATGAAATAACTCGACACAATCTGGCACGACCAGGAACATTAAAATCAATCAACAAGATATGAAACACAGTTTAACAAGCTAAAACGTGATAAGGATGTACGAATTGTTGTAACATGTGACGAAACTTACCACTCCATATGCCTCTTCCTGGATTCTTTTCATAGTTCATGACCCTTCTTGATAACAATTAAATGCCGCAGATGTGAGTTTGCCGACATGCCTGATTGACTAATTCTCAATTTCGATTCGTAACAGTAAACCCGAGAAGAAGATCATGGAACCCAAAAATGCACTGTGAGTTTGTTCTAACTCGATTAACGTCAACAGAAACATGTCATTACACACTACAACACTCAAATCATGCATTCAAATCTCAGTACGGAACGGGATACGAAACCGCGAATGCTCTATTTACAGTAGCGATCAGCCTTCTTCTTGACGCGATCGTCAAGAGCATCTTCGACGGATTTGAAGCTCGTGTTAGGAGTGTAACCGAACTTCTTAGCCTCCACCGGAAAAAGCTCCAGGTACTTCTTCTTCTTCGCCGCATCGATAGCGTAGATATCGTCTCCACCGGCGGGGGAAGATGCAGAGCCGTCGACCACCGCGTCCACAGATTCTCCGTCGGTGGCAGAAGGATTAGACCCGCCCTCGGTGCCGTCGAGCTTGTCCTTGTTCTTCTTGTGCTTCTTATGCTTCTTATCGATCGATTTCCGAGTAGCTAAAGCACCTCCTTTGAACGTCAATCTCCCTCCTTTCACTCTCTCGTAAGGGTCCGACATAGCCCAGCTTCTCGTTCTTCCCTCAGATCGATTAGGGTTTTGGGAATTCTGATTCTCTCTGCTCAGCAGGATCTCGAGTTATTGTTCCAGGATTTTCGCATCTTGTACAAGAAAGAATACATATTGGGCCTTCTGATATACATTACTGTTCAAATACGGGCCTTAATGGGCCTTGGTGGGCCGACTCTGATTCATTGCATCGATGCGGCAAAGCTGCTAAAATTATCACATCTATTTTCATTTATAAAATTCGGCGAATTCACGGGATGCAACTCTGCAAATGTAATTCACAATTAATTTGTTTGTTATTTTTCGATTCTTTTTATTTATTTTTAATTACTATCCCATTTTTCCCATTATGTTTCAAAATTCAAGCTTCTATATATTTATGGTGCGTATAAAGTACCTTAGTCCTAAATTAAGCTTCACCATTCTCTATAATGTTAATATTTTAAATAGCACTGAAAATTTTATATATATATATATATGTGTGTGTGTGTGTATTGCTTCCAAATGTACATAATCTTGATTGACACATGAAAATGTGATCATTTGATTAGATACAAAGAGCCTAAATTTGATTAGATTCTCCCGTTAGACCTCTTGCTATTTATATTTAGTTACTGTATAATGAGATCTTGGTGCATACAATGTCCTCAAGTGTGTATGTAATGTCATACATGTACGTAAATAATGTAATGCGACGAAATAATTAATAACCAAAATCATGGAGTGTAACATTTGCTCTCTAATCAGACAACTTCATTGTATATAATTGTGATCACGACCAATGTTGGATCTATTATTCTACGTGATACTATTAAAATATCTTCGTATACCTATAATTGTTTCCTCTAACATTTTAATTAATATTTTTTTTTTATAATTTCTCTCTAATAATTTTGTTTCCATTTTAATTTTGTAATCGTCTTAATAGAAAATTGCTGTGTTCACTGTTCAGTCGCAGGGGAAATAATGCCACGTGGTGTGTTGTATAAGACCGATCATTGGAATTGTCTCAATACGTGGGCCCCACCACGCATCAAAGCCCATATAATATTGGGCTCTGGCCCATGTACGCCAATTAATATATTCCATGATTTCCTTTTCTTTTCTTTTTTCTTATCGTAGGTTTGATTTTGTTTTTTCCTTCTACTAATAGGGTATGTCCAATACAAAAATATATGATTATTTATCTCAAATAAAATTGTCTGGAAGAATTGACGAGTATTTATATTTGTTTATTAAATCTTGTTATTAATTTCAAAAAATAGAAACAGATTCATATAAATGAATGATCAGAAAAATACAGAACCTAACAGAGTTATTTAAGGGGAAGCATATATTAAGAGAAATAATATCCAGAAGGCGGACCAAATTCAATGGTTCTAAGTCCATGAGGATGGGACCCCATATGCCCAAAAGTACACAATTCAAGAATGACAAAAAGAAAGAGAAAAAAAAAACACAAAGTGCATGTGAGTTTCTGGGGAAAATCTACTGTTAGATTTTTTATGTTTGGTTTTTTTTTACAATGCGATTTTTTTTTTGAGAGAGAGAGAATCAAAGAGAACACATTTTGACATTAACTATTTCTGTTTGGTTTTTAGATTTCCCACAAACTTTCTGAACCTTTTGTCTCCACTTTTATTACATAAGACGATTAATATAATAATATATTTAATTATTTACGATTTCATTAGACTTACTTACCTCTTCAAGGAATAAGGGTTTCTAGCTCTTTTTCGTCTTCATGCCACATGGAAACCTAATTGCTTTCTTTGTTTTATTCAACATCTCACACAAACATACAACAAGATGATAAAATCATGTGTGTCTCTATATATATATATATATATGTGTGTGTGTATATGAGAGAGAGAGGGGTCACATCATTTTGACTCAATTATTTTGTCTGACCATTAAAATTGTTTGTAGTGTGATACATTCGAGTGAAATGTTATTTGAGATTATTACTATTTAAGCTATGGGATTACAATATAGAGAACAAATATAACCTATACAGAAAAATATAATTCCATCGTTTAATTAAAAAGATATAACCGCACACATTCAATTTTTGGATATTATTATTGAATTAAGGAAAAATTCCAAAAAAAATATTTGAATTTCTCAATATTTATAAAAGAAAATTGAATAAATTTTATAAAATAAAACCTCAATTTTATTTTTTAATAAAAAACAAAGTCGAACTTTATAATTTTTGTCATTTTTAAATGTATTGGTGACGTGATATTTCGTTATCATGATATGTGGATGATGGTGTATTAAATATGGTCAAAATACTGATTTGGAACGTAGGATGTATGTACCACATCATTATTTAAGGTTAAAAATGATAATGATTATAAAGTTAAGATTTATTTTTGACTGAAAACTGAAATTAAGGTTTTATTCGATAAAAATAAAATTTATGTTTTATTTTGTGAAAAATGAAAAATTGATGTAACATGTCACATGAGTCGTGGTCTGTTGCAAATTCCTTCGATAGGTAAGGTAAGTAAAAAGGAAAAACAAAATGTATTACGAATTTTCTATCTTATTTCGGAATGTGAAAATAAGTAGTCTTATGATACAATGTGACTGATACATATATCTGAGATCTGTATACGAAACCCATCGAAGAAGTAAAAATGAAAATAAAAAATAGCTTCATCATGTGAAATCAGACGAGCCAAAATGCAGAAATGCGTATGATGGTGTTATCTGGTAAACTGTTCTTTTCCGACACTTTAGCTTCAACCATGAAACATCATTGAATGATGCATCAAATGATTCAGCAGAAGCTCCATAACCTGATGTCTCCTCCTTCTTCAAGAAAATCATCAATGGTGGGTGTCAGAAAAGGCGAAACCCCGTTGAACAACATGAACTGATCAGGAGACTCTATCCCGTCAAAGCAGTTGTTGTACCACCAAGATTCGTTGGTTTGTTCATTGTACGTCCCGAGAGAATGGGTCATTGAGACAACATCGTACTGATCATCAGCCGGAGAAGAAGAAGAAGAAGAAGCCATCGGAGAAGCTGGGATGATACTGCTGTTGGCTGCAGCAGCAGCTGCTACTCTTTGTATGGACTTGGGCGACATGACTGTGTTTTCATGGTTGGTTGATGGAATGCAGAGAGAGGACGAGATTTCTGGGAAGTTGAGATTAGCCGAGGAGCCCTTGAGGCAGAGAAGTGCGGCATCATAAGCCCTGGCTGCAGCCTCGGCCGTGGAGTAAGAGCCTAGCCAGATCCTCGTCTTCTGGTTCGGAGCTCTGATCTCCGAAACCCATGATCCCCAGCTTCTCATTCTCACTCCCTTGTACTTCTTCTTGTTCTTACACATGGATGATGATGACGATGATGACAACGATGGTGATGGTGATGAACACAATGATGACGAAGACGATGATGATGGAGATGAAACTCTCTTTGCTGTCTCCTGCTGCGCCTTCTTCACCATTGATAAGCACCTGTCACAGATTCAGAGGCAATAACACTGATGATTCGGGGTTTGAAAAAGGGATGAAAGATCTAATGCTTTTGTATGGTTTGATATTTCAGGGTATGTGTCCAGATTCAAGCAAGAGAATGGAGCTGGGACTTGAAGAGGAGAGAGTATGGTGGTTGCTATATATAGACGGGAGGTGGAGAACAAAAATGGAAAGAGAACAAAAAAAGTTCTAACATAGTCAAAGGAAATAGCATGGCACACATATGAACCCCTTTTTTTTTCTCTTAAAAAAATGTGAATGACAGGTATTTATTTAGGATTATACTAATCACATCCCATATGCAGCACCTATCACAGATCACAAAAGAGATCCTACTTATTTTATTGCTTTAGCCCTTTAGGCTCTTGATGCAAAAAATATGCATACATATATGGACTTCCCATTATTTAGATCCTACAACAGATTGTGAAATATCTGATTATAAATCAAATCCAGGGAAAAATCACAGTAGAACAACAGTGTAGTAACCCATCATACACAACCAAGGCAATATCCATCTATTCAACAGTTGTTTTCAAGAGATGAAAGACAAACAGGGAACATTGGATTCTGTTTCTAGGAGCTACAGCATGTGGTTTCTTAATTAGATTTGAGGCAAAAGTGTAGAACAAACAAAGACAAGGCTAATTTAGTCATTAATTAATTGATAAATCAATTAATTAATGAGAAATGAGATGCTTAGAACACATAATTAATAAGGCTTTTAACAAATCAGAATCTAACCTTGAACCTAGCTCCATTCACCTTTGTTGCCTAGGTACTCACAGCTGGCGCTTCTCTGTCTTGAGGCCTTCAAACCGCGTAATATACTTTCATGTCCCTTCCACACGTAATATCCTCTCCTTGTAGGAAACTCAGGTTCCATGTAAAAAAAGAAAGCATTATGATACTAAAATATTCCCCAAAAGATCAAACCTAGAACAATCTTACTATTATAAATCAAGACGCAGTATATAATATTATAATCGAAACGTCGTACAAGGAGGCCGGGCACTGCATTCTCAGAACGCGTACGAGTAATTTATACCCAAAATATTCGTATCCACGTTCAGGCCAGGCTCCTCCTCCCTTTGTTTATTATAGCTGGTCTTTTTCCAGATATCAAGAAACGAATCAACCGCTTTGTTCGTTGGAAATGCAGAGGAAAGTTCTCTGTCCATGCAAGAAAAAAAGAAAAGGGTTCCTCTAAAACACAAAATGTCAAAGCACCCTTTTGCCATTTTGCATTCACTTTTTGCCTATATTGTTTTTCTACAAAGTAATACCAAAACAAAACTGCAGAAACTAGAAATCATGTGTCATGATTTCTATTTTCTATGTTATAATTATATACCAAAGTTACTGTTTTTTCAAGTGTAGAAGAAACATAAAAGATTTAAGTTTTTGGATTTAGGCTTACTCTGAAAATGGGTAAAATCGAACAGGAAGATGAGTATGGCCATAGTCATAAACTTGGCAACCTACCGAGAACGAGTGATCCCCACCTGAGGAAAAAGACAAATGGTGAATCATAAATGAAGATTCATGCTACTTTCTCGTATACACGTACAGGCAAAGTATCCCACAGTATCTGGACAATCTTAACTGGCACCCGTACTCAAATTATGACCTTCCGTACCTCAACCATTTTTATATTTAAGAAAGGTTGGTGGGAGTAATATATCGGCATTTAAAGGAGATGAGATGAGCCAGAGAAGAAGTAGGGTCGTGGACATTATTATATGCAGCAGATAAACGCAATATGCATAGAAAAGACTCTTGTTTCTAATCGATAAATGTGGAAATGAACTGTTGGAGGAGATAGGCGAAAGTACGGATGAAGTCTCCGGAATTCAAAGTGTGTTGGAGGGTTGAGAGGCAATGCCCATGTGGGTGAGGCTCTTTTATTGAAATAGATAAGGAGAATCAAATCCCCTGTTTGATTCTTAGGTAATACCTAAGAACAGAGAAATTTCCTACAATGTTAAGGCTTAAACAAGAATATCAATATTTTTGCATGACAGTAGTCGGAGGATTCAACATATCGATATTCTGATAACGATGTCGATCGAGGATCCTGCTTATTTTTTCGTGTCTGCTTGTAAAAGACGGTTAAAGTCCTCAAATAATTGAGAAGTTTCAGAGAAGCAGCATACCTATGTGCATACAGAAGCTGAGAGGAGCTTACATACTTATTGGAAGATGCATACCCGAGGATAATAGAATCGAGGCTGAATGGTTCTCCCATTCTGTTCTAGCAAATTCACCACAGCAACTTCGAGAACAAATTATCTGCACAAAACGACAAGTTCATTCAGATTGTAGACAAATCAAAGTTCAGTAAATATATAGGCATGAAAACAAAACAGAAGAAATGATGATAATGTCTCACAAAGGGAGCTAAAGGCAGGGTGCTGTCCAGATAGCAGAAGTTATTTTCTACAGTAGGTGTGGCTGTCCAAATTGGGAAATTTCAAGACCTTTCATGTTATTCCAAAGATTAGTTTCAATCTAATTCTGAAGAACACCACTGAGGCCTGAAAAAGACATAACAGGAATCAGGCTCTTACACAATGCAAGTAAATGGGGATCCTTCCTCAGCTCTTGCAGCTAGAACATGCAAGCTGAAAATCCAATACATTCTGAGCAAAATGGAGAGAAAGACTCGGTTTTCAGAGGTTATACTCTGAACCGTGAATTCTTATTGAATCTGATATCTGAGAATAATACAAGTCAGATATCCACAATTACAAAGCATTATTCAATGCCACCTAATACCACAAGGCCAAGTAAGAGAGTCGACGAAACAATTTACAGACATCAGAAAAGATACAAAAAAATGGTGACCAGCCACGCTTCATCAGTTCATACCAAAGCAAACACTGATCGAGATCAGCAACAGATCATGATTGTCCCCATTGATACGAGCTTTCAGTTCACTTGCCTAGATGGTCCCTCAAAGGAACTTAAAGCACTGATAACCGATTCATATACTTCAATCCCTTTCATGAACACGCTGTCTTTAAGGAACTGCACTCGTACGTAAGGATAAGAGTATATCAGTAATGAGGTTAAAAAAGTAACTCAGAGATTTCTAAGACAATGCTGTCATGCTATTACCTCATTATGGTCATGCAACAGAATGGGAGTATTTGACATGGGGGAGAAACCCAGGACCGGAATTCCCCACTGCCGGAGATAGCGTGCATCTGTAGTGGAAGCCAATATTTCGGGCTTGGCAAGTTTTCCTCCAACTGCTTCAACAGCTTGCTTGAAAATAGACCACCAAGGATTGGAATCATTTGTTGGAGTCATTATAGGATGCCCCAAAATGTCTCTCATCGGTCCGTGCTCTTCTATCTGAGGCATAAAGTAATTAGCTTGTTAACTCCCTCCGACTATGAATATGTAACTCAAATAAAATAAACTATCTTGTGGCTTGATAACTTTGCCAACGAATACACTGAACTACTTAGCCACTCTCCTGTAACAAAGGCATATACGACATGCAGCCATAGGCAAACGAGAACGCATGGCTTGCCAAACTTCACAGGCTGCTGGTTAGTTCTGTTCCTATCTTCTCTCAGGACATCTAATAATCTCATTCTAATGAAGCTAAGACGGAGGATGCAAAAAACAGAAATCAGAACTTCTTAAGACATCTAATATCCTCATTTGAAAGGTCTGTGCCAGATGTTTTCCCTGGGTTTTCCTGGTCAGCAGAAACTTAAAAATCTAATTTGATGTCTTATCTATGCAACTCTCCAGTCATTCCACTGTTATCTTAGGCTTAATGATAAATGTAATTTCACCATGACCCGCACAGGACATTTCCAACAAGAAAAAAAAAGAAAAAGAAAAAAGGAACCACCTTTCCCTGACATAGAACTAAAACTGTATCATTTGAATATCAATGCAGGCCATCTGTCACGAACTAAAACTATTTACATCTCATCTCTTATTTTCACCAACTACACTAACAGAGGTATCTAAATCAACGACAAGAATATGACTAGAAACTACAAGAACAAGGAACCACAGTCATTAACCTTGTATGTCATGTTCCTAATAGAAGGTGCCCATTCTTCAGCAATCCTTTTCTTCATAAGATCTGGATCTGCCAGAGGTGGTAATCTAACATCAAACCCAGCTTCTGCTTCTGAAGGTTGCATATTCATTACAAATCCCTGCCCACAAACAAGAACACTCAGAACTCGTCGGCAAATAGCAACTAACCTGAGAAAAAAGGTGCATACACGAAAGTGCAGATGACGAAGGTTACCGTGGGAGAAGGAATTCCAGCTTTCAGATATACCGGATTGACAGAGATAACCTCCGAATTTGCAGCTTTTCCAGCTTTCACATTATCGAACTCTGTCTCCCTGAACTTGGTGACCAACTCGATGCTCTTCATCAGATTCTCCATGGCCCCATTATCGTACAGCTTTGACCCATGTCCCGGAGGTCCCTGAGCTCGGATAACGAGTTTCCATGGAGTCCGATCCGCGTAGAAGACCCTAAATTCATCTCCCGGATTAGCCTGCCCTTCGTCCATGGCGAATCCGACATTCAGCTCCCTGAACTCCGGCGACACCGCGAACTTCGCCATCCCGTCAAGCCCGCCGATCTCCTCCTCTGGAACATAAGAGATATGGACCGTACGGACGGGAGAATATCCCTTAGATTTCAAATTCCGGATTGCCTCCAGATACTGAACGGCGATGCACTTGTCGTCCTGCGCGCCACGCGCGAATATCCGACCATCGTCGGTTCGGTGAGCCGAGAACGGAGGGTGGATCCATTTCTCGCCCTCGGCGGGAACGGAGTCGAGGTGAGAGTTGAAGAGAATCGACGGAAGCTTAGGGTCCGAACCGAGCCACGTAAGGAGAAGAACTGGCTTACCTGGGACAAACTCGATTGTCCGAGCAGTAAGGCCGATTGACTGAGCCTGATCAACGAGGAAGGAGACCGGTGCGGTGTAGTTAGGGTTTGGGTGAGCGGTTTTGAACCTCAAATAACGCTGAAACCTCGTGATCGGCGAGTCATCTTCTTCGTATGAAAGGGTTTGATTGAGCGCGAAGGAGAAGATGAGGAAGCAGAGGAAGAGACGATAAACCGCCATGGACGAGGGCCTCTTCCGTTGCAGGGGATAGTGAATCAGACAGGTGACTGGACCTTCATTGATAGACGTCTGGGCGAACCAGAAGGTTTACGCCGTCATGGAAATTATGAATTTACTCGAATTGGCCAATCTTTTAGTAATTCATCATAAATACCAAATGTTTCAATATCTACTATCCACTCCCACAAATTTCATGAAAATTCAAAATCCGATCTAAACAAAAAAAAATTGAAACAACAACCCGCCTGAAAGCATCCAAACATTCACAAACTTAAAAAACAAAAGATTAATATAGTCATTTAAAATTTAAAATGTAACTCACTCACAAGAATCTGAATTTTGTTTGACAAAAAAAAAAAGAATCTGAATTTTGTTTAATATTGTAAGAGTTGTCAATATAAATTCACATGGCCCAAAGATCTAGAGGTCATCATGTTTTCATTTATTTCGATATATAGAGTTTCTATTTTGTCAAAGTTATAATTAAATGCCTTGTATATATGATCTTTGACCAGAATTAGCATAGTTTCCCTGCCTGTAAACATTCCAAAAAAAAAGATTAAGAAGAACAACGCGCCCGCACACGCGCCGTACAGCTCCAACCTCAAAACCCTATTTTTAAATCCTACGTGTCATATTATCATTGGATAACGAAACTCTATCTCTTGTCAGAATACCACGCGCCATGTAAAAATCTTCGCCCATTACCATAACGCATCCTCCCAAGACCAAGAAACTGGTCTCTCTCCCTCTCTCTCTCTCTCTCCACCAAACGCAGAGTGATAACAATGGAGACGAGGCGACCGATCTCAGGGGATGTTGTGTCGGTTGTGCTGATGTGCATTGTCTTCGCCGGAGGATATGTTTTTCCGGCGGCGGAGGCGATATGGTTGACGGTGCCACCGGAATCAGGCTTCAAATGCGTTTCGGAAGAGATTCAGACCAACGTCGTCGTCGTCGCCGATTATTTTTCCGTCGACCAGAGCGAGATCGAACTTGGTCCCACCGTCAATGTTCGGGTAAGTACGTATACGTACTTAACGTACGATGATGTTTTTTCCCTTTCCGTTATGTAAGATTCGAATGTTGTTTAATCTCACGATATACCATTATCTAGACCAATGCGCACATATATATATATATATATATATATATATGTAGTGGCGAATTAACAAAAATTGAAATACTCGTGGAAGAGAAATATGAAATAGACACTATATGGTCTAAGTGTTATTTTCTTAAAAACTTTCACTCACAATCTGTTTTTTCAATAAATGCAGAGTTAGAAACAAAGAGATTTTGCTGAAAATATATATATATATATATGCATCCATTACGTTTTTCTTTTATTCTTATAAACATATATAAAACAACACATAACTGATGTAAGTTACAATTTTAACTTCAAAATACAAAATACAAACTGATCATTAACTGCTAAAATAAAAACTGCTTTTACAAACTTTTTTTTTCACGTCACAACCTCTTCAATTTTCAGCTTCCCTTGCACAGGTTTGAGTCATTTTCTAACACTCCTCCTTGACTCATGCCATCTCCAGCATACCAATTTGCACATTCAACCTCTTTCGTCATAAGTTCTTCGTTCTTTTCACTTGTAGGATTAAAACAATAACTTTCATTTTCCATTCGAATCTTGAACAGAACTTCATTTGTATCATTTCCAATGATACACTCATTTTTGTCGAAAATCACTTTGTACCCTTTTTCAGCTAACTTAACAACACTCAAAATGTTTTGATCAATCTGAGATACAAATAGCACATCAGACAACAATTCATAATTTTCTGATCCTTTGATCAGAACATCACCTTTCCCTTCAACATAAATGATTTCACCATTTCCTATTCTCACTTTCGACTTGAACGAAGTGTTTAACTTCTCAAATAAACTCTTATCTCTTGTCATATGATTCGTGCATCCACTATCCACCAACCATCCATCTTTGACAACATTTGAAATGAAACAAGATGCGACAAAAAGATTTTCTACCTTATTTGTCTCTGCCGGTTGTGCTTCGGCAATTTGCGGCATTTTAGTTCGACAAAACTTCTCAATATGACCCGGTTTGCTGCATCTCCTACACTTGAAATCTGGTCTTTTCCAACATTTCAAGTGAGGATGGTTTGTTCTCTTGCAATGCTTACATGGCTCGAATACACTCTTGTTTTCTCCAGCATCAAAATTCTGATTCGGTCCCTTACACTTTTGAGCATTCCAGTTCTTTACACTTGCCTTCAACGCACCTTCAACAGATTCATCGCTCCTCATAATCCTTCTTTGTTCTTGTGCTTGCAAAGCACTTTGAACTTCAACAAGTTTCAAATCTGAAAGTTTCTTGGTATTTTCCAGAGATGCGATAGTTGCTTCAAAACGTTCTGGTATTGACACCAACACCTTCTGCACTATTCTTTTGTCTTCAATCTCTTCGCCAAGAATCCTTATTTTGTTCACAATGCTTACCAACCGATCTATGTAATCCTTGACAGATTCACTTGTCTTCATTTGTTGTCTTTCAAACTCCCTGAACAAGTTGAGAACTTTCATTCCCCTGATTTTCTCATCTCCCTCGTACTCCTTCTTCAGGAAATCCCACACTCCTTTTGTTGTTCCAACGACATTATCTTCGTGAACACTGATTGAGAAACTGCAGAGAAAAGACATGATACCGCCTTTGCTTTTCTCGTTACCTTTTCTTTGTGGATTCTTATTTGATTCACTGTTGGATTTGCACCGAGAGGAGGAACCTCGTCATCCTCTTCAACGGCTTCCCATAAGTCTGCTCCTTTCTGATAGTTTTCTCCATCGAACATTGGTGTGGCCAGATTTGACAATGTCGAAGAACTTGATCCATCATTTTGCTCCATTTGTTCACCGATTTTGTTTTTTTTTTCATAGATTTTATTTTTTCCCCTCACAGATCCCAACAAGATAAAAATGCTCTGATACCACTGTTATTTTCTTAAAAACTTTCACTCACAATCTGTTTTTTCAATGAATACAGAGTTAGAAACAAAGAGATTTTGCTGAAAATATATATATGCATCCATTACGTTTTTCTTTTGTTCTTACAAACATATATAAAACAACACATAACTGATGTAAGTTACAACTTTAACTTCAAAATACAAAATACAAACTAATCATTAACTGCTAAAATAAAAACTGCTTTTACAAACTTTTTTTTTCACGTCACAACCTCTTCAATTTTCAGCTTCCCTTGCACAGGCTTGAGTCATTTTCTAACAGTCCTCCTTGACTCATGCCATCTCCAGCATACCAATTTGCACATTCAACCTCTTTCGGCATAAGTTCTTCATTCTTTTCACTTGTAGGATTAAAACAATAACTTTCATTTTCCATTCGAATCTTGAACAGAACTTCATTTGTATCATTTCCAATGATATACTCATTTTTGTCGAAAATCACTTTGTACCCTTTTTCAGCTAACTTAACAACACTCAAAATGTTTTGATCAATCTGAGGTACAAATAGCACATCAGACAACAACTCATAATTTTCTGATCCTTTGATCAGAACATCACCTTTCCCTTCAACATAAATGATTTCACCATTTCCTATTCTCACTTTCGACTTGAACGAAGTGTTTAACTTCTCAAATAAACTCTTATCTCTTGTCATATGATTCGTGCATCCACTATCCACCAACCATCCATCTTTGACAGCATTTGAAATGAAACAAGATGCGACAAAAAGATTTTCTACCTCATTTGTCTCTGCCGGTTGTGCTTCGGCAATTTGCGGCATTTCAGTTCGACAAAACTTCTCAATATGACCCGGTTTGCTGCATCTCCTACACTTGAAATCTGGTCTTTTCCAACATTTCTAGTGAGGATGGTTTGTTCTCTTGCAATGCTTACATGGCTCGAATACACTCTTGTTTTCTCCAGCATCAAAATTCTGATTCGGTCCCTTACACTTTTGAGCATTCCAGTTCTTTACACTTGCCTTCAACGCGCCTTCAACAGATTCATCGCTCCTCATAATCCTTCTTTGTTCTTGTGCTTGCAAAGCACTTTGAACTTCAGCAAGTTTCAAATCTGAAAGTTTCTTCGTATTTTCCAGAGATGCGATAGTTGCTTCAAAACGTTCTGGTATTGACACCAACACCTTCTGCACTATTCTTTTGTCTTCAATCTCTTCGGCAAGAATCCTTATTTTGTTCACAATGCTTACCAATCAATCTATGTAATCCTTGACAGATTTACTTGTCTTCATTTGTTGTCTTTCAAACTCCCTGAACAAGTTGAGAACTTTCATTCCCCTGATTTTCTCATCTCCCTCGTACTCCTTCTTCAGGAAATCCCACACTCCTTTTGCTGTTTCCAACGACATTATCTTCGTGAACACCGATTGAGAAACTGCAGAGAAAAGACATGATACCGCCTTTGCTTTTCTCGTTACCTT